AATTCTTCTGCTAGTTGGGGTTTAGTCCAATTCTGCATCCTTTCCTTCAAGGCTCAGGGGTCCAAGATTATCTTCTGTGTCTGTGTTAATTGGTTTCCATTTTCTTTGTTGAAGAGGGTCTGTGCAATCCTTCTGCCTAGTCCGCCATCTTGCCCCGCCTCCCAAATGTGCATAAACTTTTGAGAAGAAAATGAACCTGCTTTGTAAATTTGCACCCAAATCATACACACACACAAAAGAATATTTTTACTTTATTCCTGCTTAAAAAAAAATATATACGACAGATTTTTTTCCCCCTTTTTCTTTATATTGCAAGAGGACCAGAAAAAATACAATACACTGCATGCAAAAGCAACCAAGCAGCTAACTCCTCCAGTCCTTTGTGAGGCTCAGAACCCCAGACGTTTAAGTGAGAAGGTGGTGGACAGAAAGGTGTGGATGGTTGTGGAGTAGGCTCAGGGTTCTCCAAGGATGTAAGGGAATATGGGGCCAGGTGTTGGGAGGTGGAGGGATCAGGTAGGGGGACGCAAGGAATGGGAAGGAGTCTCTTTAGGAAGTGAATGTGTGTGCTGGCTAGCAGGGAGATAAGGCAGTGGCTGGTGTGTTTGAGGTTCTCCTGTGGGAGCTTTGTGGCGGGCTGGCTGCTGCTCTCTCCCAAGCACAAGCCCACCTCTAATTCCTCTTCATGCACTGGCAGGCAGTCGGCAGGGGCTGCGGGGGGCTCAGCTCTTCCACTGCTGTGTAGCTGCTTTTCCGGCATCTCAGGGATGGGTAAACCTCAGAAATGCTACGGGCCTCCAGTTCTTGCTGCCAGGGCTGCAGCCGCTGCCAGTGCTGCCGGGGCCTATGTCTTCCCCACCAGCCTGCACCAAAGTCCCCTGGCTGGGTTACAAAATGGCGCTGATGGCTAGTGAACACAGCTCCACACACCTTAGGGTAGGGGGCAAGGGACAGCCTCGCAGATGTCCCTACCATGACCCCCACATTTTCAGGAGGGAGTGCTCCTTGTAATGCGTAGCTGGACCCTGGGATGTGGGCCTTTCTGCTTATCTTGGTTTCAGCATCTTTGGTATGAATGAGGTACAGGGGGCTCCCCACTCTTGCTCCCATTCGTGCCGGGTCCTGGGTGAAGGGTGATCCCCCCAGCCCAGAACGTTCTGGCTCTCTGATTTGGGTCCTGGCAACGCCCCATCAAACGCCAGTGACAGGACAAGAAGGAGGACTGGTGGGAGGTGGAGATGCACAAGGTCGGGGCTTCAGTCTAGAGAAGCTGCACAGCCAGCTGTTCCAGGGAGACTCCCCGTACCTCACGGTGGGCAAAGGTGAGGCGCTCCCTCCACTCTGCCCTCTTTCCTGGAGTACTTCTGCATTCCAGGGCTGATCTATTGTTCCCATTCCTCCCTCATAAGAGCTCTGTCATAAGCTAGAAACATTTTAACCTAACATCCAGTAAAGTAATCTGAGTGAAGCAAGATGGGTGGGAAAACAGACACAGACCACAACCTCAAAAATAAAAAAGAAAACCAAAGTTCAATTTATTGAAAAGGAAAAGTTTAACACATGACCAAAGATCTTTTACGAGCTCTTGCACAATCCACACCTTTACACATACCACACTGGAAGTATACATCTAAGCAGCACGTTACAATACACAGTACTGTCTGATTCCCAGAACCTGCTGCACGGTAGTTTTTCCTGTTCAAACATTCATTGACATGTTTTACAACAAATCACCTGATTTTATTGTTCACTAAAAGAAAACAGCTCCCCCACCATCACTATGATTTAAACAAAAGAACATGGTTTACAACAGGCACACCCCCCCCACTTCCCACCCCCTTTAGTCTGGTAATCTCCTATCAGCACCATTTCTGTCCTCTGGCCAGGGAATAACTCAGTGGCACAAATAATAGGGAAGAAACATAATGGGCTGAGCTGATACTGTGCAAACAGCCTAGCAACCAACAGCCCTAATTATCTAAAAGTATTGACCATGATTCCCAAGGCAAACTGCATCCCTTCTTTTTCCCCTAATGGTCTTGGAGATCTGTAATGAACAGTTATTCTCAAGTTCTGCCACGGGCACTTAATGTCTCCATGGCCAGGAAGCAGCATCATGTTTCAACTGAGGGCAGATGCTGATGAGGCCTGCCTTCGCATCTGACAAGGTTTGAAACAAAACGCACTGAGACAGACCTCCTTGCTGTGAGCAGTGAGCAGATAGAGCTACAAACAAACATAAATTGAGATTCTGCATTTCCGGAGAGCATGAGTGAACATGCAGTGTGAAACAGAGGTGATATCCTACAAGTTAGGAAGGGAGCAACTGGAAGGAAGCAATTTGGAGAGAGAAAAGTATAAAGAAGAGGGAAGGGGCTAATGGTTTTCCTAGTGTACCTACTGAGGATCAACACTTTGAAACTATGGATAAAATGGCAGATTCCCTCTTCTGTGGGGGCAGAGAGCAGGTAAAGAACACCAGCCAGTGAATGTGGCTGGGGAGGTGAAGGCCCAGGAGAGGGTGGTGAGATGCAGCTTCGAAGCTAAGACATGTTCACACTCACATGTGTATCTGCAGATGAAAAGTGCTTAGCAGCTGGATAGCAACACAATATGAATAATGGCACTTGTAACTGGCAATAGCTCCTAGGCAGAGTGAAAAAAAGATGCTAGGTCATGGTCCACAGCCAACTGATAGTTGGAAACCTGCTCCCAATAGCAGCGTTTGGAGAAGAGAACAAACAAGGAGTTTGAGAAACTACCTCTGGGCTAATGGAAATGGGGGGCTGAGCTGGGGGTAATGGAGGGCCACAGGAGATACAGTACCCTGCCAGAAAACCCACAGTTTGCCTTTGGTCCAGGAGATTCAGTCTCACACTCCAGAGAGAGTTTGCTCTGTTGATCTGATCAGACAGATCTTGAGCAGAATCATGCTGCTTAAGTTTTTCATCAGACACCAGAGCCAGAGCATAAGAAAGGCTGGGAAGCTGGGAAGTAATGGGAAGGACCCAGGATGGGCTCTCTGCCTCAAGCAGCCATGTGGGCAGAAGAGATCCTGGGCTGTCCCAAAGGATGCATCCAAAAGAGGAGGAAGGGCTTCCACACCCAGCCACCTTCTTCTGGCTGACCTTTCACTTGACCCCTGCCTAGCTGGGAAGGCCTACTGCCTGGAACAGCCTTGTCTGGCTCTTCTGAAGTGGCCATGCATTCAGGTCATTAAAGCAGCAGCAGCAGCAGCAGCAGCAGCAGCAGCAGCAGCAGCAGCAGCTGCAGCAACTGCAGCACAGAAATCCATTTCTGATGTTCAAGGAGCCGTGTGTGTGTGTGTGTGTTGGGGGTGGGGGCATCACAATTAGTGTTTAGAATGCAAGGAATAGGTGTCCCAGCCAAGAGGTTCTTTACAGGTCCAGGTGGTAGAGGCAGCATCAGGCGGGGCACAGGTGCTGTGCTACCCGTACTGATTGTAAACAACCAAGCACCACACGTAGTGTCAGACCAGCTCCTGTACATTCTGGGAACTCAGCTTCAAACTGTGCATATAGACCCCACTGTTCACCCACGGCAACAGAGTAGGTATCCACCCGGCATGACAGCAACTGAACTTAGCCATCCTTTTCTCTTGCCACGGGCTAAGGCTGCAAATAGGCCTGAACATGCAAAACGGCCATTTTCTAAGCTTCCTATGATAGACAGAAACACATATCCAACATGGCTATCCTGTCCCTTGGCCTAGTGCACATGCAAGTATTTCCTGAGTCCTTTGATACCTTCTCAAGCTGGTCCAAGGGAGACAAATCCATGCCTCCCTACAGAGGTACACATTGAGATTAGTCCTGATTCAAATCTTGGAGGTCCCCAGTGCTGAGAACCTAAGCAGACATTTCCTGGAGTGATGTTCTTTTTAGCGGGAGCAGCTGAGTAAAAGATTATTGAGGAAGAAACAGTGCATCATAACCCCAGGTCTAGAGACAGAATCTAAAAACACAACGCTGATTTTAAATAACATATAAATAGTTTCAATTTAGGCAGCACTTCATTATATCTTTTAAGAGCTAAAGGAGCTAAGAATACAACAGTATAATAACCCAGACTGAGGGACTGTAAGAAGATAGTGTTGCCCTAAGGGTCACATCAAGCCAGAGAGAGTGAAGATTAAAAACTCCTGCTTTGGGGGCTGGTTTTAAACTACTAGGTAGGTCCAGCTACCCCCTAGAGAGTGAAGTTGTAAGAGAATATTGAGGTAAAACATTTGGGAGAGAGATAAGAAAGTGATAGGGCCTGGCTTTATAAAGAGGGAGAGTACCCACTTGTGTAATCTAAGCCTGGCCCAAGAAATGCAAAAATGGGAGGTAGGGACACTAAAATTTTTAAATAAAGTGAGCAGTGCAACAGGAATGACTGAGGGAAGTGGGTCAGAAGGCAGGAGGCAGATAGGAAGGGAGAAGGCATGATGAGGGAGAAGAGCTGAAAAGATCCAGGTTAAAACAAGTAAAAACAAGTGGTGCTTCTTCTTATGTATCAGCTCCTCAACCTCTCCCCTGCCCTCAGCCTCCCTCGCCCATCATACCAGGTGCTAGGTAGAGGGTTCCCAGACAGCAGTGCAGCCTTTGCCCAGTGCCTGAAGCTTACCTGAGGCTCTGAGGACAGGTACTGTGGGGACACAAAAGGGTGGGGTTGGCTGGTGCCAAGAATGCACCGAGATCCTATGCAAAGGCACTGGTGGAGTTGATGACAATGGGAGCAGTGCTTGGCTGGATCAGCTCATACAGGGCCTGGTAGGTTCCCACCACAAAGCCCACAAAGCCCAGCATGCTGATCAGGGCATCCTTGGCGATGGTGAGGGGGCTCATGCCCTCTGAGTAGTAGGTGGTGATCTCCAGGAGGGGTGGGATGATGAGGGCCAGGGCGCTGCTGCTCACGGAGCCCACCAGGGAGATGACTAGGTCCAGGCGGGGGATAAGGATGGCCAAGACACCTGCAGGGAGAGAGGACATGTTTGCCCAGAACTGCCCAGAGCTACAAAGCATATCCACATTTGTGCACTACATAGAATGGAGAACTCTCAGAAGACCAAGACGTGATCTGGTCCAATTTCTTCATTCAGCAGATGAGGAAATGATGCTCAGCTGTGGAATGACCTGGATCACACTGCAAGGGAGTGGCATAACCTGGCTTTCAGCTTTTCCTGATACAGTCCATGCTTTCTCTCTTTCTAAGGGAAAGGAATCAAATTATATTCCAGGGTAATCTGGTGTCTACCAAAGAAGGGGGCAGAAAAGGAAGGAGACCGTATCTGAGTGACTGAGGGTATCTCCAACATAAATATCTTTACTTAATGTTTAACAAGAAGCAAAAGAGGAATAAAAGCTCTTCTTTATGGAAGAATAACACAATCCAGCCTATTTTGCAGAGCATTTTCATGGAGGCAAAGGAGATGCAGTTCTGTCTGCAGGTTGAACTCAGGAGCCAAGCCCTGCACAGTGACCATCCCTGTGCCAGGACAAGCCAGTGGCTCCACATGTGAAATGGAAGCCCAGGTATGTGAGGAAGGTGAAATCCACAAAGATGAATGGTGGTTTGTACGAGGAAATGCCATTTGCTTCCATACTGTATCAATGACTGCACCAGCCATCGGCCTGATTCTTGGACAGTGCTTTTTAAAACAAAGAAGTAGGCAGCTTCACTGGCCACCTGTATTCTAGTGCTCACTGATCTTTTCACCAAACCGATCTTTCCACTGGGTGGGTAAAGGCCAAGGTTTCACAAGTTGAATAAGAATTTATTAAGAATTTTATTAAGAATTATGAGCTCTGAAATTGGACTTTTGGGTTTGAATGCTGGCTTTGCTGCTCACTAGTTGAGTGACCCTGGGGAAGTTATGATTCCTTTCTATTCCTCAGTTTCCTTGCTAGCAAAATGGGGAAACTGATAGTTCCTATATCATAGAGATGCCACAATGATCAAATGATTCTACGTAAGCCCTAAGCAAAAGGCCTAATGTGCAATAAGCATGTTGCTGTTAGGTGTCATCGAGTCAGCTCCAATTCATAGTGACCCAATGTACAACAGAACAAAATACTATCCAGTCCTGTGCCAGCCTCACAGTCCTTGCCATACCTGAGCCCATCTTTGCAGCCACTGTGTCAATCCATGTCATTGAGGGTCTTCCCCTCTTTCGTTGACCCTCCACTTAACCAAGCATGATATCCTTCTTCAGGGAATGGTCCCTTCTGATAATATGACCAAAGTAGGTGAGACGAAGTCTAGCCATTCTCACTTCCAAGGAGCATTCCAGCTACACTTCTTCCAGGACAGATTTGTTAGTTCTTCTGGCAGTCCATGGGACTTGAAGTATTCTTCACCAACACCACAACTCAAAAGCATCAACTCTTCTTTAGTCTTCCTTATTCATTGTACAGCTTTCATATGCATATGAACATGTAATACATGTTAATGTTATAATCACTGTCATATATTTTGTTGCTCATGGAAAGTGCATCATTAACTCATTACTAATCAAGGAGCTCTGATAGCGTAGTACCTAAGGCACTTGACTGCTAACCAGAAGGCTGGCGGTTCAAACCCACCAGCCACCCCTCGAAAGGAAGGTTGGGCAATCTACTTCCGTAGTGATATTGCCTCAGAAACCCAAGGAGGGGTCACTATGAGTTGGGATCGACTCAATGGCACACAACAACAATCAAGTACAGTTTGATGGACTCTTTCCCACTGCCGGGCTCCTACTGGAGGCTGATGGCCCTCATTACTGACATGGTGATCAGAATGCATCCTGATCCTTAGGAGAAAATTACATTTTATAGGAGGGTTTTGGTTTTAGCTTCCCTTCTTAAAGCTAAAACGTAGTCACAATCACATTCAGAAGCGATCTGAGGAAGGCCCCACACTGGCGAGATTGTCAGAACATCTCAGCCTCATGCAGCCTATTTTACCTCCAGTGCCAGAACCCATCAGTGCTTCTTTGGCTGAGCACCAGATGAAAGACCTGAGTTTCCCTTAGAGTCCAGGTTTTATGCAAACCACATAAACTATAGTACTACTGTAAAATGAGAAACACATGGAAGCCAAGACTCACCAGGAGAGTAGCAGATTCATATCTTCTGTTTTAGTTTCATACTTACTCTGAAACTGCACTGTCCAATACAGTAGCTGCTAGCTAAGATAGCTCAGGAAAAAAAAAAAAAAACAACTCATTGCTGTAGAAGTTGGACCTGACTCCTAGTGACCCCTCCTTGGGTTTCTGAGGTGGTATCTCTACGGAATTAGATTGCCCAATCTTCCTTCCGAGGAGTGGCTGGTGGGTTTGAACAGCCAGCCTTCTGGTTATCAGTCAAATGCCTTATGCACTATGCTACCACAGCTCCTGCCATGATGGCTATTTAAGTTAAATAAATTAAGAATTCCATTCCTCAGTTACACCAGCCACATTTCAAAGGCTCACCAGTCAGTGTGCCTAGTGGCTACTGTATTGGACAGCACACATATGGAACATTTTCATCTCTGCAGAAGGTTCTAGTGAGACAGTAATGCTAAGCATTCACTCATTGAGATAAATTCACCTAAGTTAAATACGTATATAAACCAAAAAAATAAAAACCATCAGAAACAAAAAACCTAGTTGTTATTGAATTGAATCTGACTCACAGTGACTCTGTGTGTGCAGAGCAGAACTGCACTCCATGTGGTTTTTAAGGCTCTGACCTTCTGGAAGCAGATGCTGGGCCTTTCTGCTAAGGCACTTCTGGTGGGTTCAAACTGTCAACCTTTCTGCCAGTAGCCAAGTGCTTAACTGTCTGTACCACGCAGGGACTCCTAATGGATATATACTTCCACCCAAACTGTTACTGTCCCTGAGGAAAGCCAGGTTCAGAAACTGGAGGTCAATAAATAATAGAAAGTGGCAGAGCTAAGCCTAGAATCTAGGACCTCTAACCCTTGGTACAGTAACCTTCCCACAGACCCAGTGAGTAAAAAATAGAAGAATGATACCAGCAGGAGGAAGAACAGGGGATCTGGGTGATCAGCACAAAGAGTCTGTCTGTGAATAACAGTGGCAGTTAGATTGTCAAGATCATTTTCCCTGGGATGTACCACAATCACTTGGTTGACAATCCTGTATACAATCAGCCCTGACCACCTGCTTTGTCAGAGGAAATGAGACAGGGTTCCAGAGCCTGATAACAAAATGGTACATGATATCGAGTCTCAGATCTGCCTCTGCCACTGTTGTATATGGGGTATAATCTCCTCATCTTTCCTTTTACTACTAATTGACCATCATGGTAATTACCCATTAATGATTTCATCATTCTTTAAAACCTTCAGAAAGTGAACAAAAGTATACAAAAAATATAGGCTTTTAACTTACTCTGCAGAGAAAATAGTCTGTTCTAACCCTTAGCTTTTTCTAAAGCAATAGTTGGTGACAAATTGGAGGCCAAGTAACTCAAAAAGTATTCAAAGAGTTTGTGGGCTGATGACAAAATGGTATCCTTATTATGGTAATCTAACGCTCAACAAGAACTGACCTGCTGTGTGATCAGGACTAAGATGTGCCTTCTCTGGGGTCTGGGTGTCCATATGTCTACTGTCAACTTCAGTGATGGCTCAAGTGCTCTGAGGAGATGGAGCAGCAGGTGGTCACAGCACTGTGGCAGCCATTAGGAGAACTGAGCCCCGAGGAGGAAGGTATAGGAACTATGGTTAAGAGTCCTTGGTGCCAATTCCAGCTCCCACACTTCCCAGGGAGTTACTTGTTACTTAACCTCTTAAAGACCCCATTCTACGACTGATAAATGGGGATGTTCAAATGAGCGAAATCACAAAAAGAGCTTAGAATACTAAGCACACAATAACTTCTTCATAAATGTTAGCTCATATCATCACCAGTCCTTGCCCAGTAACAAGCTACATGGCCCTGGGCAGAGCCCACACTGTCTGAACCTCAATTCATCTACATGTAGTCACACAGTAGTACATGATCTCTGCAGTCTTATCCATCTCTGACATTTGCTGGAACTGTAAGATGCAGTTTCTGTCACTTAGTGCTGAATTATGCACAAGAGAAGTAAAAAGCAATGTGTCCAGGACATGTCCCTCAGCTCACTGGCAAAGTCAGAAACTGTGGGCTGCTCAAGAAGAGACAGAGTTGGGCAGTGGGATTCCCTTTTGGAATACACAGTTGTGTCAAAAAAGGTATTTTCTAGCCCATCCAGTTTTGTGCTGCTAAAAGGAGTGTACGTCATTCTGCTGGTGCCATGTCTTGGAGTCCACAGACTCGAGCCAGCTCAAATCTTTTTTCATTAGAGGAAATGAGTACCTGGCAGGAGATGAGCACAGATAACCTGCTGGCCTCTCCCTGCTCTGCGAATCTGCCATCTTCTCAGCCTCTCTCCCATTAACCTGGAAGGACATATGGGCACTTTGTGATTTGGGTTAAGTGGAGTCAGAGACGTGTTCCACTCTGATAAGAGTTAAGTGGAAACAGAAACAGAAGCTTGTTTGATCAGAACCTTTACTCAGAGCAGACAGAGGTCTTCCGCTCCATCATGATATCTTAAGAGCTACCTAAAAGCTGGTCCTTGTTTTTAATACAAAAGATAAACAAGAGGAACATGTCTAATAAAAATTGCCCTAATAGAGATTCAAAAAGAGGGAGACTATTCTCATAAAGCCAGGACCACTGGGCTACAAAAGGAAGCTCCTTTTCCTGATCCAGCTGAGCCAAATACTATCACTTTACCCTAAATAAAACTGAGAGTGAGGAAAGAGAATGGGGGAAGGAGCAAGAAAAGTATACCTCCCACTAATCTGGGGGGAAAAAGAGAAGAAGGGTCCCCAACCAAACTAGTATAAACAGCCCCAAAGGTCCAAAGGCAGGGCTATCTATTTTGCCACCATGCAAACAGCTTTGATGCTAGAGGCAGGAATCAGCTGCTTAGGAGAAGTAGACTTGTC